TGGATTGAAGGAGCTGGCTTAGCCCATAGGGGCTGTGACAGACCAGCAGCCTGGATGCTTTTCCTGGAAGACCTGAGAGCAGGTTTGTCCAGAACTCGCTGGAAACAAAGGTCTAGAGAGCAGCGTTCCCACAGCTCCATGTTCAGCACGGCCAGGGGGGCTGCAGGAGCACAGACAAGGCCCCTGGGGCTGCTCAGCACAGCCAGGTACGTTCAGTGCGTGTCCTTGCCGATAGCCTGTGCTTAACGTGACCGCAGGGCTCAGTCCTGTCCTCGTCCCAGTTCTCCAGAGGAAGCACACTTCCAAGGTGAGCACAGGAGCAGCGTGCTCTTCAGATTCATTTTTATTTGGTTTCTGTTTTTTCTTTTGTTGTTTTTTTTTTTTTGCACCATCCGCCTGTCAGGTTTTAGATTTAAATTTTCTTTTACTCTGTGGACGTGGCCAGTGGAACCATGGGAACAGATGTTTTTAATGCTGATTTTTGTGCGGGTTTTTTTGAGTGAAGGTCTCGGCTCTGTTTCTTTTCTCCTCTCTGCTCTGGCTTGCTTGTTGTACAGTCCATCATGCAGCTATTCCATGCCTCACGTTTTGTCTTGATAAAAGTAGTTGAAGAAATTGTGTAAGGGGGAAAAAAGGTTCCTTTTCTTCATGTTGGAATGTCACTGGTACCTCAGCTCTGTTTGATAATATGAACCAACAACAACAAGAGAACAAATCCTTAGTGCTTGAACTAAATAAATACCTGTCTCATTGGAAAGCTCTGGGTCTCTTCTCTCAGCACGTCCAGCGCAGCGCAGGCGGGAGGTGCAGCTCCTCACGGGGGGCTGAAGGTGGCAGGAGGCTTTTGTGAGGGCAGGAGGAAGAGTTTTGGGGGGCTCTGTGCCAGGGGGCAGGTGGTGCAGGGGTGTGTTTGCTGTCGCTGCGGTGTCTCTGCCATTGTTTCCAGCGCCTGAGGAGCGATGCTGGGGACGGAGCCTGGCCTCTGCCGGCTGCAGCTGTGCCTTTCTGCTCCCTTCCTGCTCCTTGCATCCAGCTCTGCTCCCTTCCCAAAGGCACCTTGGGCGGCCTCACCACTGCCTCAGCTTCCCTGGGACACGGGTGCACCAAGCCCAGCTTCCCTGAGGAGGATCCTCCTCAAGCCTCCTTCTTGCTGGAGATGGCAGCCAGGTCTGCGGGGCCGGGGAGGTGAGTAACAGATGCTCTTTGGTGAGTTACCCTTTGCTTTCCTGAAGGAGAGAATCGTGGAACCACAGCATGGTTGGGTTGGAAGGGACCTTAAAGGCCATCCAGTGCCATACACTGCCAAGGGTAGGGACACCTTCCACTAGCCCAGGTTCCTCCAAGCCCCATCCAACCTGGGCAATAGAGAAGGGGAATTACCTGGATTTGGTGTGTGCCCAAACCTTGGTCTCTTGGTCAAGCTTTTCACTGTTAAAAGGACCACGAATAAATTGGTCAGGAACCTGGAACATAGTGGTGGTGATGTGCTGGAATTAGGGATGTGGGAAAAGTCGTGGTGGGGGGGACGAGTTCCTGGAGAAGGTTCTTGCTTGTCACTGGGGGGAGCTTCGGTTCCTTGCAGCTGGCACCTCCGGATCCTGCCCTGGGTGGGAGCCTCTGGAAACACCACGTTCACCTCCTGGATTCCTCCTGCCTGCTGCCGTGGGTAGCCTTGGGACTCCCACCTCCCCCTGGTACCCCAATTCCCAGCTTCCCTCTGGTGAAGGGGTCTGGATTAAACTGCAGAGCCAGGGCTGCTGTGGAGCAGGGAATGGGCGGGGGGGCACCCACCAGCTCCAGAGGGTGCTCCTGGCTGCAGTGGCTCGAGCTCTGGCTCCAGAATCCAAGAGGGAGAGTCTGGCTCGGGTTGGAGGGCACCAATGGCTTCTTTGCTTGCTGGTGGGATCAGCCCCGATTTTTCCAGGCTGGAGGAGCCACAGCATCCACCTGGCAGCATCTGCAGAGCTGCTGCAGCAGCCGAGCCATCTCCTCGCTGCAGTTCTGCTTCCAGCTCCCGAATGCTCAGCAAACCGAAACGCCAGGGCTCTCCCTACCTGCTGCAGCAGCACCTTTTTCCATGCCGGGCATGTCCCAGCTCCGAAGGAAGATAAATGGGGTGGGCAGGCTGCGGCACAGGCTGCCAGCGCTCCCGCAGTCAGGGAAGCAGCTGCGAACACCCGGACCTCGGAGCAGCATCTCCCTCCCATCTGCTCTGCCTCCTCCTCTGCTGCTCTCCCACTGCCTGAGCCGGCCTTTCCAGGCTTGCTGGGCTTGGGGTTTCACCAATGGAATTGTTTCTTCAGCAGTTTAAGGGATTTTTCATCAATTGGCAAAAATACCGATTTGATTTTCCCCCTTCTTTAACCATTTTTTTCCCCGTCCCCACCCTGGTCCGAGCTCATGCTAAGGTCAAACGTGGCTTTTTATAAAATATTTAGGATCCTCTTGTAGGAGCAGAATGGAGCTGACTGCCCAGGTCGATGCTGGAAAGGCCAGGCTTGGGCGTGTGAGGAGTTAAACGCCTGTGGAATTTCAGCTCTGCCCTTCCCAGGAGGATAAGGGGTTGGGAAGGGCTGGAAGCAGCTGGGTGATGATGCTCCTGCTGCCCCACAGCTCTGCCCTGCTGGGTTGGAAGGGAGGGTTGCTGTTTCCAAATCGAATTTTCCAGGCTTGCCACCTGTTTCCGAGGGTTTGGATATAAATTAGAGCCATTTTGAGTGCTCGCTGTTGGCCACCCGGAGAGCACGTCTGGAACGAGGATGTTATTAAAGGCTTGATTAAAGTTATTGCTAATTAAAGCACTGAAGTGTCTCTCCCACAGCCAGTGGGTCCTCGGATTCAGGGCAGGGAAGGGAGAAAATGGGATTTATTGATGCTCTCAGCGCTGGTGGTTTGGCACTGACCTTTCCTGCATTTATCCCAGCTTGGGAAAGGGGGCTGGATGGAAATGGGAGGTTTGATCCTGGCATTTCCTGAGCTGCTTGATTTCCAGAGAGGTGGGTTTGGATCACAGCGAGGGCCACGTGGCCCCCAGCTGATTCCCATGCCATGGGATACTGTGGGGGTTCATTTTCCAGGCAGGTTGTGGGTATGATGGGCATTAATGGCTTGTGCCTGCTCCTTACTGTGGATCCCGTTTTTCCGAGGGGTTTTGGAGTTGTTCTGAGCTTTGCTCCGTGTTTGGAGCTTCAGCAGCTCTCCCTGCTGGGAGAGAGGAGTGCTGCGAGCCTGGATTGGAGCTGGGAACGGAGCAGGTCAGCCCTGACCTCTGTCCCTCAGCACTCCTTGTCCCTCTGGTCCTACCCTGCGCCTCTCGGTCGGCGCCACGAGCTCCTGGGAAGCCCCTCCTGAGTGGAGCAGACCAAGCCAGGTACTTCTGTGGGCTGTGGTTCTATCATTTGTGCTTCCAAAATAATTTAAATTATATTTAATTGCTCCTTCATTTAGCTCCCTAGTGCAGGGCCTGCTTGCCTACAGCTGTTCCCATCGGCAGTGTGAAGACCCCGGGAATTGCTGCTGGAGGCACATGCTGGTCCTGCACTGTCCTTGCCTGGATTGCTCCATGTCCCTGGATCTCTGGGAGACCAGCACAGCGGGAGAGAAGCAGGAACAGTTTCAGGATGTTCAGGTACTGCAGGGATGAGGAGCCATGGGTGTCTGAGCTTGGGAAAAGGAGCTTTTGCAAGTCAGCAGCTGGACGTGGCATGGGAAGGATGGACAGTTTCTGGTCATGTTTCAATTGGTAACAAGTTTCCAGATTGTTCCATCTCCCAGTGTGTCTCACCTGGGGTTATGCAGCTTGGTCAGTGAATTATAAAATGGATACTGGATTAGTAAATTCGATATTAGAGTAAAATTCTTCCCTGTGAGGGTGGTGAGGCCCTGGCACAGGTTGCCCAGAAAAGCTTCAAATATCCTATCTAACCCTGCCCTCTGGCAGTGGGAAGCCATTCCCTGTGTCCTGTCCCTCCAGGCCTTGTCCCCAGTCCCTCTCCAGCTCTCCTGGAGCCCCTTCAGGCCCTGCAAGGGGCTCTGAGCTCTCCCTGAAGCCTTCTCCTCTCCAGGTGAGCACCCCCAGCTCTCCCAGCCTGGCCCCAGAGCAGAGGGGCTCCAGCCCTGGAGCAGCTCCGGGGCCTCCTCTGGACTCTCTGCAGCAGCTCCAGCTCCTTGTGCTGCTGGCCCCAGGGCTGGGGCAGCTCTGCAGGTGGGCTCTCACCTCAGCTCAGGGGCAGAGGGGCACAATCCCCCCTTTCCTAGTGCCCACGCTGGGGGATCAGCCCAGCACGTGGGGGATTTTGGGATGCCAGCACACGCAGCTGGGATGTGTCACAGGTTGGACATGATGACAGTGGCCCTGTGTCACAGGAGTTGTTTCATTCCCCTGCCCACCACTGCAACAGGAGTAGCTGTGGGTGCTGGATCAGCGGCCCAGGAGTGGCGGTGCCATGGGAAGGTGCCAGTGAGTGCTGCAGCTGGATCCTTCTCTTCTCCAGCCCTTGGGAGCTGGGGTCTGTGCTGGAATTAACAGAGGGATGGAGGGGCTGCATCCCTGGCTGGGAAGCTGGGAGCCAGGTGTGGGTCCTGCTTTGCACAGGAGACAGAACCAGGGATTCTGTTCAGCCCCCTCAAGGTGCCAGGCAGGGCTGGCAGTGCCTGACCCTGAGCCGAGCTCTTCTTAAGGAGCTGCCTCATCCCATGGAGCTGTGATGCAAAGGAAGGAGCTGCTCTGCCGGCACACAGCGGTGCTTCTCTTGCCCAGGAGCAGGATTTTTGGGGCAGCTTTGTCCCTTCTCTGTCTCTTTGGGCCCACTGTGCCACACCCAGAAGCTGGAGGTGCACACCCAGAGCTCCTGCTTGGAAAGGGAGGGAGGCAGAGGGGAGCTGGTGACATCCCCAGGCAGCTCTCCAGGAGGACACAATCATCCCCACCCCCAGAGGTGGCCAAGGCTGAGCATTCCCTCCTCATCCTTACTCACCCAGAGGCCAGGGCTGGTTTTTCGCTGCCTTTATTAGACTTCAAAGAGGTTTTTTCGTATTTTTTTTCTCTTTCCGGGAGCGGGTGCGCAGCAGGAGGGAGGCAGGGAATGCAGGAGAGGATGAGGATGGTGTGTTGGGATATCCCAATCCCCCAGCGGGCACAGGGATGAGCTGACCCAGGACTCTAAAGGCAGGAAGGAGCAGGCTGGGGTGCTGGTGTCACTGGTGGTTTTCTATGCAGCTGTGGGGTTTGTAATTCCTAAATTCAATGTCAGTCATTCCAGGATACCATCCTGGCTCTAGGGGTGACACTTGGCAACTGTTCCTCACCTCTTCCATCGCCCAACCAAAACCCTGAGCTGCTGCTTGTCCCCCCTGGCCTGACCACGTGTCCTCCTCAATCCCAAATCCCTGCTGTGAAGATCCCGGCTTGGCTGCCAGAAAGGCTCCCTGGTCCCCAAGGAGAGCTGCCCTTCTCGCTCTCCCAAAAATCAGGGTGAAACTGAGGATGCTGTGTGTTCCTCTCATTTGGCTGGAGAGGTTGGGATATTCCCTGGGCTCTTCATGGCCTAGTTCCCAAAGGTTTAATTCCAGTTCCTGAGGGCTTTGCACCATTTCTCCAACTTGGCCATGCCCAGGGGACAAGTGTGAGTTGGAAAGGAGTGGAATCCTGCAAATGTTTTCATCCTCCTAAATCTTTTGCCCACCTCTTGAGCATCCCTGTGCTTTCCCCTGTGTCAGCTCCTGCTCCAGTGCTGGAGCCTCTCCCAAAACAAAGCCCTTAAAAAGCCTCTGCATTGTGGGGTTCACCCAGCCAAAAAAACACCCAGTCAATTCCTCCCAAATTAAGTGTACCCCTTGCTCCCAAACCCGGTATTTCTGCAGCCAGCTCCCTGTGGAGATTTGGGGTGGGGAAGCTCTGCCAACAGCCCGGGCAGCTGCCTGGGCCCTCTGCCAATGGGAATCGGATGCTGTGGGGTTCTGGAGCGGGTTTTGGGTGGGTTCTGAAGCACTTGAGCGTTATTTAATGCAGGAGCCAGGGCTGGGAGTGCGGCGTGTGCGGGAGTCTGTCCCCAGGGTGTTTTGGGGAGGCTGAAGGGGGTTCAGGGCAGGTTCCAAGGCGGGGCTGGGGAGCAGAGCGGAGCTGTGGCCCAGCCTGGTGGCCGCTAAAACCAGCACGGCATCCACATGAAGGAGCCCAGGGCGGCGCCGGTGGCGGCCCCCGCCAGCAGCCCCAGAGCCATCTGGTCCCCGGAGACGCGGTAGGGATCCTCGCGCACGATGACGTGGGTCACCCCGGGAGCTGCCAGGGAAAAGGGGCCATGAATGCCGGGGGGAACGGCCTCGGGCACCCCCCGGGGCTACCGGGCCACCCACCTCCGTACTGGTGGCCGTAGTGGCCGGAGCTGATGTAGGCGGCCTGGTGGGAGTCCAGGGGCACCGTCTGGTAGTAGTCGTCGTCGTAGGGGTCGTACACGTGCACCTGCAGCCGCGGGCGAGGCGTCAGTTTGGGGGCCACGGCTCCCTCGGGTGGGGAATCCGAACGGGCCCGAGGGCTGGGGGCAGCCTGTGCTCAGGTCACCCTGACTCTGCCCCTTCCTTGGCATCTTACCTGTGTCCCTGCCTCCTTAACTCTGCTCCCGTTCCCTCCACCTGTTCCTGTCATCTTAGCTGTGCCCCTGTCACCTTAACTGAGTCCCTGTTCCCCTTAACTGTGTCCTATAACCTGAACATTGTCCCTGTCATCTTAGCTGTGTTCCTGTCACCTCAACTCTGCTCCTATTGCCTCTAACTGTCCCTGTCACCTTAACTGTGTCCTTGTCTCCTTACCTGTGTCCCCACAACCCCGTGTCCCTGTCACCTGAACTCTACTGCCATCAGTCTCCACCAGTGTGCAGGGTCCCCGTGGCTCTGTCATCCACCATCAGTGGTGACATCCAACCCCTCCCACCTGTGGCTGTGGGGACTTAACTCCCTGTGCCCTGAGGATGCACAGTAGCTGTTGGGTAACCTCTCCCTGCCCAAATCCTGGATCCCACATCCCGTGCCAGGGCGGTGTCCCTGCTCAGGGGGACGAAGCCTCACCGGGGTGGATTTAGCCTCCAGCACGGCCATCTTCCAAGCACTGCAAACAAAACAGAGGCACTCATTTATGGTGGGTGCTGGAGGGGTGGGAACTGTCCCCTTCCTTCCCACGGGGACCTGGATGTGACCATGAGGCCAGCACTATTCTTTAATTCCCTATTAGTGATTGCTGGGCTAACAGTTGGGATTGGGAATGTGCTGGGAGGTACCTGACACCGCAGGGATGGGCACAGGGCAGTCCCTGGGAATGGCCCTAGCTAAAACAAGGGCAGGCAGGAAAATTACACCTAAATTTGGGGGGAAGAGCACATAATGGATGAATTTCCACTCAGCTGAGGCCAAGCTCAGTTGATGAAGTTCTGCTTGGCCACAGCTGAACGTTTCCCCCCATCCAAGTTCAGCTGAAGGTTTGCCACTTCTAAATTTTAAATTTTTTGTTTTAAAACAATCAATTTTTATAAAAAATAAAATTATTTTTAAAATATAATTTCTAGTTTCTTTTAGGAATAAATAGAAGTGGAACAGTGCTAAAAAGGGCAGTTTGCCTCAAGCCAGTGAGTGCTTCACATTCAGACTTTTTATTTCCAAACAGTGATGAAAACCCTTCTCCATCAGGCCAAGAGGAGATTTCTTATCCATGAGAAAAGTCCCCCATCAGGAGACCAACTGCTTAAAACCAGCTGCTTTTGGCTCTGGATTATTCAGTGAGAACCCCAGATCTCCTCCTGCACCTTTTGCCCTGCAAGTGTGTCTGAGAACACGGGCTGGGGGCGGGTTTAGCCAAGGGTGGTTTATCCCATGTGGTGGGAGCGGGGCAGGGCTCTCCTGCGGCCCAGGCTCTTTCCAGGCTGGGATAATTGGGATGGAAAAGTCGCTTACACGGCGTCGTCCTCGCTCTCAGCACACAGCGTGGTCTTGGAGCCGTCCCGCAGCACCACGGTCAGCAGGCAGTCCCGGCTCCTCCCCTCGGGCGGCTGCACGTCTGGGAAGGGAAAGGGTGGAAGGATGGGGTGAGATCCAGCCTCACCAAGGAGTTGCCCCAGAGACCCTCCCCGGGCTCCAAATTCCCCCTGCCATAAGAGCTGGTGGGTTTAGTTTTGGCTCCATCTCCATGTGGAGGGTGCGGTCGGGCTCTCACAGGTTAAAAGCCAGCACAAGGAATGAGCTGATGGACAGAAACCTCCACCCCCATGGAAAGGCAGCAAACTGCCAAAATTCTGCTCGAGGCCACGAGGTCGAGCTGCCTTTGCTTTGAACTTGCCACAGTGCACCCAAATTTTGTAGGAACGGGAGATGCTCATTGCCAGAGTGGGATCATGAGCTCAAGCAAGAGCAAAATCTTAAATCCATGAGGCTGGTGTGTCTTTCCTTGTTCCACAAGCTTGGCAGGACCCTCCGGTGAGCACAAAGCTGTGGGATTGTGCTCCCACCGCCGCTCCCAGCCCGAGAAAGGCGCTTTGTGCGGCGCCGTGGGCTGCGGGGCCCAGCCAAGCTGCTGCTTTGTTCCCCTTGTTTGTGCGAGACGTGAGCGATGAGTCAGGGCCGTGGGATCCTGTTTGTTACGAGCGCAAACCAGGAGGAGAGTTCCTCCTTCCTTTCTTCCTTCCCCCAGGAAAAGCAATGGCAGAGACGATCCAGCGTCTCCCGCCTGGGAATGAGGAGGGGTGAATGAGGCAGCCTGGGTTATTTTGGGGAGATGCTGGATGTGCACGGGTGGAGCATTGTTTCAGAGGGGTACAGCCACGTGCGGGATGGGGTTGGGAACGCAGGGCTCGGGAGCAGGGGCTCGGCTCACCTTTGCACTCGCGGCCGATCCGCACGTCCCGGCAGCTGTACTTGATGTGGATCCGGCCATCCATGTCCCGCTGTGTCTCATCGTGGTAGTAAACCAGGCTGCCATCCAGGTAGAGGACGAACCAGTTCCTCTTCCAGCGGCGCAGGATGGAGCCTGGTGGGACAGGGAGCAGGTGAAGGACCCCGGTGGGACACGGCCGGCGCGCTCACAAGACCCGATCTCATCCCCCGTACTTGGATCCCTCCAGCTCCTGTGAGCCACCGCATCCCACAGGACACCTGTGCCTGGCATGAGCATCCGGGGCAGCGTGACCAGGTGGCTTTACATGGGAAAAGGCTGCCAAAAAAGCCATCAGGCTGTTGGGTGCTGCCCTGCCGAGCGCACGGGAGCGGATCCAGCCCCGGACGTGGAGCCACGAGTGTTTTTGTGGCAGGCAGCCCCTCTCTCCACTTACGTAAATCCGCGAGCGGCTGAGCCACAATCTCCCCGCTGCCGTGGATTACCCGCCCGCCTCGGGGCTCCTTGTGTCCCTCACACCCCACCTTGTCCCAGAAAACCTCTGGGTTTTTTTTGGGGGCTCCCAACCTGCAAAGCTCAAGGGTGGTACTTACTCTGTCGCCAAAGCCAACCGCTCTTCACCAGCGCCATGGCTGCCGCGGGCTTCGCCAGATCTGCCGGGCCGGGAAGAATAATGGGGTTAAAATAGCAGCTCCTGCCTCACCCCCGGCTCTGCCCATGGCTCCCACCTCCCCACAGCCTCCGGGGACCAAGTGGGATGGGGATTCACCCTTGTTGCTCCTGGTATTTTTGGGGGATGAGCTCAGTGCCCGGGTTAATCGGGGTTAGGCAGACGCGGGATTTCGTCATCTGGGAAACATCGCGAAGGAGACACTCCGGCCACCTTCCTTTCTGCCTTTAATCTCGTTGGGATTTAAGGGATTATCGTCCCGTGGAGGTAAGTGGAGAAATCCGGGCCACGTATGAAAACAGGCAGTGCCTCCCCACAGCCCCAGTAACTTTCCATGCTAAACGACACCTACACTTGTTTATTTTCCCTGCCTCGATGGAAATTAGTCCTTAATAAGGCCATGAAGTCATCGCTCCCCAGGTCCCTGAGCAGAGCAAACACCCCAGGGACAGGCAGGAGCAGTTTCCTGGCCACAGCCCCCATCTGCACCAGTCAGCTGGGAATCCCAGCTCCCAGTGATGGGCACCCTGGGGTGGCCTCTAGGATCTCCCACCAGCTCTGGGGGGCACAGCAAGGCACAAACAGCCCCCCAGCACCCACAGTACCTCTGCGCCTGCGTGACCAAGTGCCCGAATCCCTGAGGATCCAGGTCCCCGTGGAGTTTGCCGTCCCGGTCCCATCTCCCGGACTGCCATATCCCCGGCAAATCGCAGCCCATGGATACCCCCAGCCCCTGGCACCCTCATCCTCCTGCCCTGGCACCCCCAGGTACCCCCATCCCTCTGCACTCACATGCCTGTGCCACCCTCATCCCGCTCTGCTCACAACCCCCGGTACCCTCATCCCACATCCCCTGGCATCTTTTTCCCCCTCCGTACCCACATTTTGTGTCACGGTTTCTGCCCCCCTCAGGAGCCCGCAGCTCCGATCCCCGCTCCCCCCGGCACTCTCCCTGCCCCGGTGGCCCCTCCCCGGTGCCCCCCAGCCCCCCGAAGTCTCCCCGCGCATCCCTCACCGGGCGGAGGCGGCGGTGCCCGCTGCGGGATGCGCTGCGCTCCGCTCCCGCCGCCCGGCTCTGCCCGCCCGCGCGGCTCGCCGGGAGCTGTAGTCCGGCAGCAGCATCCCCAAGTGCCGGCCGCCGGGAAAAGCCCCGTTTTCCAGCGCTTTAGCCCGAAAAAGCCGCTCCCGGCGCCTGCGCGGCGGGGATGCTGCCGGGCTGCTGGCGCCGGGGATGCCCGTGGTTGATCCAGCGGCTCCGATCCTCGCTTTCTCCTCAAATCCACCCCTTTCCTCCGGATGCGGTGCGCATCCAGCAGTGCGGGTGCCCTTGGGAGAGGGCTCAGCCACAACAGGACCCCCGAATCTGGGGGTCGCAGCGAGTTGGGCACGGGGAGGCGATGCCTGAGGGATGCAGGATTATCCTCCGGTGCTGGGAATGGGTCTGAGGAGGCGTTTCATGCCAAGAAGCAGAAATCAGGAACAACTCGAGTTTTAAGCACCAAAGTGCTCGTCTGAAATAAATTTCCAAGTGGAGTAAGCAATCCTCTGGGGCAAAATTAATCCCTGTCCTGGCTTCTGCTGGAATAAGAACCGTCCCGGGCTCTGGGACATGAGGTTGGATTATTTGGGGAAGTCAAGACACAAATCAGGTGACAGCTGAGGCTGGGCTGTTAATAAAAAGATGTTTATTGAGCGCATGGCAATGCTGAATATTAAAAATAAATAAATTCTATTCCAGCACCTTGTTCAGTGTGAAGCCCTTTCCCCTCCTCTCCTGCCAGTGCTGGCTTTACTCTGGCAAACAGCAGAAGGAACTAAATGAATCCAGCAGCCCTGGGAGATCCCAAAGGAGTTAAATTGGAATCACCCCCTTGGCCAGGCCACACTCACAGCCTTGTGCATCCCCCCTGTGCTGGTTATGGGGCTGCAAAATGTCCTGCTGGTGCCGAGTATTCCCAAAATCAGGGAAATTATTTGGAATCTGGCTGGGCCAGAGACTTTGTCCTGCAATGAAAGAAGTTCCATTAGGAAGGGATTTGGGCTGAAATTTAGATTTATCCTGAGTTATCTACTGCTATTGGGTTGCCTCTCCATACAGACACATGTAATTAATTGTCAAAACTTTTCCATTGTGGTTTTCCTCTTGGGAAGGAAACGGTGCTGGTGTGGGATTTGGGGGGCTTGGACTATTATTTGTAAACTGGGGTGGTTTTTTTTTTTAATGTGAAATAGGAGAAATTTGGGGCATGCTGGGTGGAAATGATGACCCAGAGAGCCAGGAATTATTTCCAGCCAGCAAAAGGAGAGGATGCCATGTGGGAATACACTCTGTACCTCGCTCAGAAGAGCCAGATCCGGGATTTACCCCCCATTTCCCATAGCAATTGGGTGCTGATTAATAAAATCTATGAACTTCGATGCCTCCTGGCTTGTTTTTCCTCCAGCTCTGCCTGCAGTGGCTTGTGCCTGGTGAGGACCTCCCCCACCCCAGCCACAGCCTTGGGTTTTGGGTAGGAAACAAAGGAATTTCGAAACTCTTCCCACATCTCAGGAAATCTGTATCTTCCACAGGAGGTCTCCCCAGATTTCATGGTGCTGTGGAGACAGAAGCTCTGAGGGTTCAGAGCTGAACCTGGGGACAGCTGCAGGTGACACGGCCAGCATTTGGTGTTCCTGTCATCCCCACTCTCGGGACAGGTTAAATCTGGTTAAATCCTCCTCAAATCCCTCCTTTTTCTGTAGCTGGGCGTGTTCCATCGGTGCCGCTGGAATCCTGCAGGAGAAATGTTCCCTTTTGGCATGGTTTTCATCCCCTCCACACCCATCCCAGGGTGGGCTTTTCACTGTTTGTCTCTTTGTGAAAAGCAGAGCTCACAAATTTGAAAATTCTCTTTAGAATTTTTAAAAGTTTAATAAGAGGATAAAAAGGGACAAAGAGGATAAAAATCGGCCAAAGAACACACTAGTAGATCAAGACAGTTTTATCTATATACTGTTACATTACTGAGGTCTATACATATTTATGTGTTTCATACATTATTCAAACATTCTTGGGAGTTTTGGATGTTGCAGAAGCTCTTTTGTTTGGCCTTACATGCTGACTTATCTGCATGACATCCTGTAGATCAGGTCAATATATTTTATTCCTTCATCCTGTTGGTTCGCACTTCCCTGAAAACGAGGAGTTAACAAGTTCTTCTCCAACTCTGGTTTGTGTCACTGTTATCACTTGGAGAGGTCGGTCAGCAGATGCGGGAAAAACAACATAATTGCTTCACACCTCTCCCCTAGTTACATAGAAGCATTTTAACATTTGGTGTTTTGCTAAGGCTGGCAATACAATACATTTATCACACCACTGTTTCTATAAGCTGTACGGTGCATACATGACTATAATACATTCATCAGACACCTGTTTCTGGGAGCTATAGGGTGCAAAGCTAATAGATTGTGTTACACTAATGAGCAGCTAAAAGGAGTCACAAATTGTACCGTATCCAAATCCTTCTGGTCAATAACAACATGTGAAGGCTAATACAGAAATGCGAAAGGCAGTACCGTGTTGTTATTTTTAACACATCTTGTTACCCCATCCCTATTTCCCGATTCCCAAGGGAGGCGTTCCACATCCATGGCTCAGGAAACACAATTTACAGCGTGAATCTCCGCCGAAAATAAAGCAGCAAAACACACGGAACAGCAGCCAGTGTTGTGAAGGGTCTGGGCTGGGGGGAGTGCCCCGCTCGTGTCAGTCCCTGAGTGAGGACCCACAGGAATTCTCCATCTCTTCCCCAAACGCTCCTTTCCTGCCCTAGGCCGGGTGAGGGGCTGCTTTGGGCGCGAGGGGAAGGACGGGGCAGAGCCCCATGGGCAGCGGCAGCCAAGGCCGGGCCCCGCGGCTCCCCGCTCCCCTCCCGCCGCCGGCCCGCGGGCCTGCGCTCGCCAGCCGACCCGGGAAGGGTTTCCGGAGCCGGGACCAGATCCCGGATAGCCGTGGAGCCCCACCTGAAATATCCCGGTGGGATTCCCGTAGCGGCCTTCCGCCTCCCGTCGGCCTTCTCGGACTACATCTCCCGTCATGCATCGCTAAACTACAACTCCCGCCATGCCCGACGGCTCTACCCCTGCCGTACTACAGCTCCCAGCACGCCCCGCGCCAGTCCGGGGCCTGTCGCCTTGTGTCCTTCCCCCGCCTGCCGCGCGGACTACACTACCCGTGAACCTTCGCGAGGGGCGGCCAGCGGCGGGCCGCGGCGGCGGCGCGCGGGGCATGCCGGGAGCTGTAGTCCCCGCGGCGGCGGCGGCTGTAACGGTCCCGCTGGTGGTACTGCCCCCCTTACCCCCCCCCATTCCCGGCTGGCGGCTGCGGGAGCAGCGGGAAGAGGAGGAGGAGAGGGAGAGGGAGAGGGAGAGCTGCTGTACCGGCACAGGGGCCGCCGCCGCCCGAGCAGCCGCAGGTAAGGGCAGGGGAGGGGAACGGGGGACACCCCCGGGTGACAGTGCCGGGAAAGGGGTGGCGGCGCAGGGGCACCGCGGTGATGGAGGGGGGCGGCCGGGGGCAGCCCCCGAGCCCCGGAGCGCACAGGGAGGGGGCGGTGGGGGAGCATCCCCCCAGCCCCGGGGCGGGGGGAGCGCAGAGCGGAGCCCGTGTCCCCCCCCCCGGCGCTCCGGTCCCCGTGTCCCCTGGGAGCCTGCAGAGCTCTGCTCCCCGTGTTGTGTGGCCCCCTCCCTGGCTGTGTCCCCCCCAGAGCAGCCTGTCGTCCCCGCACCGGGCTGTCCCCCCCAGCCTGTTGCCCCCCAGATCCGCCGTCCCCAGTTTCCCAGGGGCTGTGTGTGTCCCCCCCCACCAGAGCCTGTTGCCCTTCCAGGGGCTGTTCCCCCAGGCCAGGCTCACGCCCGTCCCCGGGAAGAGGGACCGGGATGCCCGGGCTGGGGGTGCCCCCCAGGGATGGGCGAACCCCCCCAAAATATCCCAAGGGGCACGTGGGGCCGGCGGGAGAGATGCCGGGAATATTGACGAGCCCGCCGGCAACTCCGTGCGACGGGAAGGGCCGAGCCGAGCCCTCAGCCCTGTCCCGCAGCCCTCCTGGGGGGGAGAAATGCTTTTTAAATGGATAGAAAATGGTTAAAGGGTTTGCTGAGCGGGGGATGTCGGCGCGCAGCATCCACAGGAATGAAAGCAGGGACATCCAGGTTGGCAAATGCAAGGCGGCGTTAAGATTTTTCTGCCTGGATAAAATGCGTATTCCGGTCGTTTTTATGAAAATGTGGATTATTCCCGCCCCCCCCCCCCCCCCCCCCCCCCCGTCACCCCCTTTTTTTTTTTATTTCTTTTTTAGTAATGATTGCTTGCATGCTCTGTTGTTGGCATTGTGGTGTTCAGGGCAGCGAAGTCCATCGCTATATTGTGGGTGAATAATGCCAAAAAGGAGCTTGGTTTCAGTCCTTTATAGAAAGCAGAGGAGCCTGGAAGTGTGGAAATGAAATAAATATGCATTAGCAGAAAGAGATTTTCTACCGGGTTGGGTTTGGGGGGCATTTTTCCCCCCCGCTGCACATCGTGATGAGCTTTTGGGTTATGGTTTCTATTTCCATGGGTTGAATTTTATTTATTTGGTGCTCATTATTGTCAAGTGCAGAAAAATGAGCAGGTTGAGGGTATTTTTTCCCCCTCTCCTGGACAAAGACATGTTGTGCTAAGCAGAAAGAAACCCCAGAAAGATTCTATTTCTGTTTTAATCAAAATATGGTTTAAGATGCAGTGCTGTGTTTATTTTTGCTGTTAAATAGTGATGGAGGAAGTCAGAGCCTTTTTTTTTGTGCGTGTGTGTGTGTGTTTTTAAAGGAATGTGGATGATGGAAACATCTTTAGGGAAACATTTTGCTGGACTTGATTGCATCAACTGCATTATTTCATAAAATGTGAGCTGTGAAGTGGTTGTTGATTAGAACTCAAATTGAGGAGCGATGTTGAGCAATGTAAAGAAAAAGAAAATTAGTATGAAGAGGCCAAATGCTTATTTTCTTTTTTTTTCAGTTCTTTCTGATTCTGAGTTTTAACTGTTTCGTG